AGGTCGATATGCCATCTCGCGTATGGCCCCTGTCTCTTCGTCGCTCCTCTGTCGCGCCAGAGCTGCCCGCGCGGGGGCCCCCAGGAAGCCCCGCGGAGGCACCACACCACGCGTTGCCGGTCACTGCACCCCTTCGGGGTCCCCGGGGAGGCACGGCGGCCCCCGAGGCTCCGCCAGGGGCGGGGGCGGGGGGCCTGGCGTCGTTCGGGCGTGTGCATTTTTCCTGCGGCGAGGACCAGCGAGGAGCATCCCTGATCCTTTGGCGCAGAAAAAGCCACGCACGGAACCCACAGAAAAACACAGGGAAGGGACGTCCGAGCGATGGCCAGGGGGCAGCGCGCCTTCAGAGGAGGAGGAGGAGGAGGAGGAGGAGAAGGAGGAGGAGGAGGAGGAGGAGGAGGAGGAGGAGGAGGGGAGCGGGTCCTGGACGACCCCGGGGCCTTCCCCCGAGGAGGCCGAGGCCTCCGGCCCATGAGCCGCTCTCTGACGGCCCCACGCGTGGGCCCGGAAGCGGCGATCCAGGCCTCGAGGGCCGCCCGGGGCCTCGGTGCGCACCGTGCGCTCTCTCAGGGGGCCACATGCGAACCCTGCCCCTACCCTCGCAGGCCTAGAGGTTGACACCAACACCAATTTCGGCGGTGTGCTTCCACCGAGGGAAGAAGATCCCGATCTCGGTGATGGTGGTAATATTCTGGCTTCCAAAGGTGGCCGAAATATTACCACCAACGCCGAAATCTAGGATCACCTCCCCCCTGTGGAGGCAGCCCTCTGTCTTGGTGTTGGTTCCCATTTCCAGGCCTCCCATACCCCCCACGATTTCTGAGGGGGAGGGTGGGGTTCACTTCGCCCCAGCCCCCTCAGAAATCCGTGGGGGGTAGGGTTCGCCTGTGGCCCCCTCGCTCTCTCTCGCTCTCTCGCGCTCTCTCTCTGGCTCTCTCTCTAGCTCTCTCTCTCTAGCTCTCTCTCTCGCTCTCTCTCTCGCTCTCTCTCGTGCGCTCTCTCTCGCGCTCTCTCGCTCTCTCTCGCTCGCTGCGCGGCGCCGGCGCCGTGCGCTCCGCGCTCGCGCCGCCCGCCGCCGGCGGGCGGCGAGCGCGGTGGGGCGGCCGCAGGAGGGCGGCGGCGGCTCCCCGCCGAGGGCTGGCGCCCGTCGCCGCGGGGGGGCCCCCTTCCCAGACCCCCTCGCGTCGTGAAAAAATCACGACGGAAGGTTTTTCGCTATTTTCGGCCTCCGGGGGCCCTCACCGGGCCTCGGGAGCGTCAAAAAACGACTCGGGACGAAGAACCGGTCCCGGGGAAGGGGTCCAGACCTCTGGGGGTCGACGTTGTGAAAAAATCATGACGTCGGGGGTCTGGGTTTCGAGGGCCCTACAGTTAAGTCGGGCCTGTCCTACAGTGGGATGTTCGACGAAAAATAAGAAAAAAGACACCAAAATAATAAAAAAATGCTCCGAAAATAGTCTGGGGACTATTTTTTGATTCTTTTTAAACTTTTTTGGAGCATTTTGGGGGTATTTATTTGTTCCGAAAATCCCCCTGTAGGGGGACACGCCCGACATAACCCTACAGGGAGGCCCTGCATGGGGCCCTAAAGAATCGGGGGCGGCAAAGGGGGGGGGGGGGATGACTAGGGGGGGAGATATATCATGGCGGGGGCCATGATGTTTCCCCAGGTTTCATGGCGCCTCTGCTTAGTTCATTGCGTCCCTGGCCCCCCCGCTGGGCCGTGCACGTGCCGCCGGTCATGACCCCTCTTGGACACCCCCCTCTTGGCCGCTCCCAAAAATAGGTTCTAGGCGCCCTTTGGGGGCTCTTCAAGGGGCCTTTTGGGCCGTGTCTCGGGGTGGCATCTCGAGGCGCCTCGCAACGGCGGCGCAGATGTGACGCCAGGGGCGGGTCTGTGCCGCCGTCAACGTTGCGAGGTCCGGCTGCATGTGAATTCGTGCAGGCACCTTGGGCACCTCCCTTCGGGTTGTGTCGCCCGGGTGTCCTGTCCGGGCAATCCCCAGAAGGGGCCATTCTGCAGGACCCTGCAGGGCCCCTCCTGGTCTGCAGCCCTCGAGGCCTTTCGCCGCTTTCGGGCCCCATGGGACTGTCAGCAAGCATCTCAGGCCAGCGCTCGGGCGCTCTGGGCCAATCAGGCCTGGTGCCAGGCCGGCTCCTGCGAGAGCGCCTGGGCGCCTATAGTGCGGAGCGCGTCTGTCGCCGAAGATGCGTTGGGTGCGCGCCCTCGGTTTGCGCAGTTGTCTTGCGGCCGAAGACCTCGTCCCGGGGGAAGGCCCCCGGGGTCCCGGACCCCGCTCCCCTGAAGACGCGCTCCCCCCCCCCCCCCTGGCGGGGCCCGGGGGGGCCGCCGCGGCCCCCCAGGGACCCCCGAGGGGTGCAGTGGCCGGCGCCGTGGCGTGGTGCCTCCGCGGGGCTTCTCTCGGGGCCCCCGCGCGGGGGCCTGGAGCTCTGCGGTCGCCCCGCGGCGGCGAGGGCCGCCCCTGGCGGCGAGGGGGCCCCCGAGGGGCCCGGAGGAGAGCCGCGCGGCCGCGGGCCGTCGTGCGGCGGGGTCCCTCTCGACAGGGTGACCTGGCATCGCTCGGACGTGTGTATTTTTGTTCCTCGGCGAGAACCATCGAGGACCATCCTGGACCCTCGAGCAAAAAAAAAAAAACAAGCACGAAACCGACAAGTGCACGCGACATGGACGTCCGAGCGATGGCAAGGTGACCGCCGAGATCCCCGCGCGGTCCGTCGCCGCACCGCCCTGGGGGGGGGGGGGGGCCCGCGGGAGGCCGCGGCGAAGGGCCTTCGGGGGTGCAGGGCGTGGCCCCCCCTCCGCGGGCCAGGTCAGGAGGGGGCCGCGCCCCCTGCCTTTCTTCCCCCTCCTCCTCCTCCTCCTCCTCCTCCTCCTCCTCCTCCTCCTCCTCCTCCTCCTCCTCCTCCTCCTCCTCCTCCTCCTCCTCCTCCTCCTCCTCCTCCGCCTCCTCCTCGTCCTCCGCCTCCTCCTCCGCCTCCTCCTCGGGCGGGCCGCGCGTGGATGGCAGAGCCCTCGTACTCGGCGGGAGCCCGCGGCAGGAGGGCGAGGGCGTCGTGGCCCGCAGACGACCAGCCGGGACCATCGACATGGGTACGGAGCGTATGGGTATGATGCCCAGCAGCAGTTCCTGTTCATGCTGAACAGAACTCGCTGTCCGCGCCGCCGCGGACGTCTTCTTTGAAGACAGAGGGCCGCCTGCCCAACAGCAGCCGCTGTCGGTTTGGGACAACATGCCCCCGCAAGGGGGAGGTCAGCGCTGGCGCGCGGCGCCCTCTTTTTTTTGTTTCTCTCTCTCTCTCTCTCTCTCTCTAGGCCTAACAGATTTTGTCCGTGCAGGCGGGGTCAGAGGATCGCCGATGCATCGGCGATACGGCTCGAAATGGAGCCCGATTTTCTCCACGCCGACGTCGCCGATGCATCAGCGACGGCGCTGATTCATCAGTGATGCATCGACAATGGGCGCGATCCTCCGACCCCGTCCTACTTTGCCCCCACCTGGGAGGCCTCTACTCCCTCACGGGGGGGGGGGAACAGCGCTCCTGGCGGGCGGCGAAAGGTGTTTTACTCTTCCCCACGCGGCGAAAGGTGGTTTACTCCTTGTCGAGCCTTCATCCAATGGGTGCGATGAAAAAACTCTTCCCCACGCGGCTGCGGAGGGCTGCGGCGTTGCAGCTGCTGCTGCCTGCTGGGGTTCGCGTGGTGCCGCGAGGCGCGGTTCCGGCGATCTCCGCCGCCCAAACACTTATGTGTGTTAGCCCCGGCGTGTCGTGTGTTAACCTCTGGGACTCACATGATCGGGGGCGGAAAAGAGGGGGGTGATGACTAGGGGGGGGTGGATTTCATGGCGCGGGCCATGATTTTTCCTCAGATTTCATGGCGCCTCTTCTTATTTCATTACGTCCCAGGCTGCCCCGCTGGGCCGCGCACATGCCGCCGGTCATGATTTGCACCCCCCCCTCTTGGACACCCCCCTCTTGGCCGCTCTCGACATGAGGCACCCCAAATGAGAGGCCCGCCTGCCAGCGGGTGGCCCACGAGGCTTTCTTGCCTCCCCTGCAGGGCCGCAAGGCCCTGGGGGCACCCTGCGAGGCGCCGCGGCTGCGAAGGATGTGCTCCTAGATCCTAGACTGCTCACAGCAAGGGTTCTTCTCGCGCGTGCTGTGTACCTGGGGTCCTGGAGCCGGACCTGTGCGCCGGGGAGCACGTCATGGTCCTGGCACAGGCAGGTTGGGTCTGCAGCCTGTCCGACGCAGACGAGCGTTTTTGGCCCTCTCGGCATGGAAGGCGCAGGGCCCCGGAGAGAGAGAGCGGAGAGGCATCGGGCATGTCGCACTCATGCCTCCGTTCCCCCGTCCTCCACAGTCGTGAGCAGTCCAGTTGACACGGCGCGGTTCGAATCGGGGACTCAGCCCTCGCGCCGCCCTCGTGCATGGTTTGGCGTGATGGTGGCGGTGTATTACGATGAGCGCCGTTGAAGACTCGAGGCGGTGTGTGCCAAAGTCCTCGTGACGAGGACTTTGGCTCCCCGCAGAACGGCAGTTGAAAACGATAAATACGAATTGCAAAACGAACTGAAAACGGCGAGGCGACAATCCAACAACGGGGAAAAACGGCTCCAACAATAGAGGAAACGTCGATCTTGAAAACAGAAAAAAAAACGCCCCCAGCGTTTTTAAGAACATCTGAGTCCTCGTCCTGTCTGGGGAGGGAGGCCACGTTGATGATCCGACGAAGCGTGCTCGGAAAAAAACAGATGAGCATCTCATCCCGAAGTCACCTGCAGGAGGCGCGAAGGGGGGCGCGGAGGTATAATCGCGCTGCGCGGCCTGGGCCGGAGAGGCATTCTTCACTCCAGGGGGCGACGCGACAGCGCCGGGATCATCGCGCGTCGTGCGGCGCACTGCGCGGCTCTGGGTGACTTGCTGCAGTCAGTAGCCGTGCCCCCGCCTGGCCGTCTCCCTCGAGGGGCGCACGCCAGGCAGGCGCGAGCGTGGGTCGCAGCCTCGGCGCAATCGATTCGATGTCGGCGCCCACGCGGCTGAGGAGCGATCGCAGGGGTGTGATCTCAGAAGGCTAAAAAGAACCACCCCCACCCCCAGTCCCGACCCCGTCCCCGAGCCAGCGATTCCAGGGGTCGGGACCCGGGGTGCGGGTGGGTGTTCTCCACTCTTGGGTGTCGAAAAAAAAGCCACCCCCACCCCCAGTCCCGACCCCCTGCAGCGCGGGTTCGAGGATGGGGTCGGGACTGGGAGTGGGGGGTGGGTTTTCGCTCTCCTCCTGCTCGGCGCACGTCTCCTCCCCCACCAGTGGGAGGACCGCTGCCGAGCACGTGCTGCGAAGCCGTTGGAGCAGGGACCGCTTGGGCCTCGGAAGGTGCTCGGGAGGTCATTCCCGCGGTGTTTCGCCGGGCGCTGCTGCACAGTCGGGGCCCTGAAGAAGGAACCCTTTTGGTTGGGGAGGGGCTCCGCGTTCCTTAAGTGTTTCACAGCTTGCCTCAGGTTTCCCTTATATTTTCGATCGGAAATCGAAGTTTAACTTATGGAGAAAAAGGGGCCTCGTTCCTTATTTAGGGTTCCTTGTGTCAACGCCCCGACTGTAGATGATTTGAAGACGACCTTGGCAGAACGCAGGGGCCGGGCGAGCACATCTGCAAACATACATTTCGGACGCTCCTGAACGGGTCGCCCGATAGCGCCGGGCCCACTCCTCGGCACCCCTGGGCATGCAGTGCCGTACGCCCTTGCAGAGAGCGCTGGGCACCGCAGGTCTGGACGACCCCTCTCATCACCCACGCTTCTCCTGGAATTGCCAGGCCCCTCCTTTAACCTCGTTTCAAGTTGATCCATCGACGACCATAGAAAATCCAGTGACAGCTTCACGTATCCATAGGATTAGTGCGGAGACAGCCGTCCTCCTTCTATTCCCTTCTCCCTTTCCTCCTTATCCTTCCGGCCCCACACCACGACCCACTCGAACCGCCCAGAAACCAATGGCAATACTGATGACACGCATGGGGGACCTTCCTCGCACCTGTTCTGCTCATTTCCGTCCCCCCCTCCTTACCCACCCTCCTCCTCCTCCTCCTCCTCCTCCTCCTCCTTCTCATCCTCATCCTCCTTCTCCCCCTCCTCCTCCTCCTCCTCCTCCTCCTCCTCCTCCTCCTCCTCCTCCTCCTCCTCCTCCTCCTCATCCTCCTCCTCCTCCTCCTCCTCCTCCTCCTCCTCTCCTCCTCCTCCTCATCCCCCCCCCTCCTCCTCCTCCTCCTCCTCCTCCTCCTCCTCCTCCTCCTTCTCCTCATCTTCGCACCCTCCGCAGACGTCTTGGCTCAAGCGCTCCAGCCCAGTGCAGGCTTTGATCTCAGGGGCGCCCGCCGTATGCGTGCCTCGTGCCCTGGTGCTCGAAGCAAGCCCATGTCCCTAAGACTGCTCTGGGTCTCGGTCGCGGCCGCTGTGGCGGCTCCCGTCGCGCCGGATGCGACTCCCACCAGTGAGGCCGAGGAGTCATGCAGTGGCGAAGCGCCCTGGCTCGCCTATAGGCCTACCAAAGAATGTCATAAGAACCTTTTGTGGTCTGCACGAGATGTTCTTAGAACAAGTCTGGCTGAGACTGGCTTGCTTCAGCACGTCGGGTTTATGTTCTAAGAACCGTGCTCCTGTTCTTGGAACATGCTTGGGTTCCAGGAACATGTCGTGGTAGGCCGATAGGAGTGCCGGGACGGTCGCGGTCCCTGCACCAAGGAGTGCACCTTCTTTGCTGGCACCACTGGCGAGGACAGCAACCCTTTCGAGTTCTTCCACGTCTACGGCAACGGCTCGAGGGTCCAGGTGCCCCCGCAGGGCGGGCCCGGCGCCTGCCTCTTCCCGGGCACCACGTGCGACGAGCACGACTGCCGCTGCACCGCCTCTGCGTGGGCCGCGGGGCTGTACAGCAGGGCGAGCGTCCTGAACCAGGTCTGCGGAGGCGCGGTCATGGTCGTCTTCATCGCCGCGGTCAGGCGGTCGAGGAGGAGGCGCCGCCAGCCCGATGCCCAGGAGGCCCCGAAGCGCGGCGGCGGCGGGCGCGAGGCGCTCCTCGGGCAGCTCTGCATCTACCTGGGGATCGGCGCGAGCGTCTTCTGCCAGGTCTACATCGCGGAGAGCACGCAGCTGGCCCTGAGCGTCACGGAGCGGAACTCGATGCTGGCCGCCGACGCCATCCTCACGCCGATCCGCGAGGTCTTCCAGTTCCTGGAGGACTCGGTCTCCGTGAAGGTCGGCAGCCTGGTGGGCCTGGCCCTGGCCGGGCGGGGCAGCACCGAGGCCGTGAGCACGGTCCTCTCGCTGGGCCTCGCAGGGGGCCTCGTCACCGGCGGGTGCGCCGCCACGCTCGCGAGCCTGCTCACCCTCTGGCCCGCGGCCATCTCCGCCCTGCTGGCTCCCGGGGCGCGCTCGCACAGCGCGTCCGTGCCGGGGTGCAGCCTGCTGCCCGACGCCGGGAGCATCGTGGAGAGCGCCCGCGGCTTCTGGCTGCTGTCCGTCTGGACGTGGCCCTGCGTGTTCATGATGCTGATCCTGACCGGCTTCATGCTCGCCGTCGGGGAGTTGGTCTGCTTCGGCCTGGCCACGACGGTCATGGCCGCCGTGTACCTGCTCGCGTGGAGCCTGCTGTCCCCGCCGAGCCTGCTCACGCTCGGGGGCGCAGGCATGCTGGCCAACGCGTCGGGGCTCGTGGTGTATCTGGCGCACCTCGCCACGAGCAGGCGGCTGCGCGAGAAGTGGGGCTTCAGGTTCAGGCTCAGCGTGGGGGCTCTACTGACCGCCGGCAAGCACGACGACGCGTCGAGCTCCAAGCGGGTACTTCTGAAAGAGGGGTTCCAGTGCATGTTGGTCGACCTCTGCGGCCAGCTCAGCATCACAGCCGGCGTCTACGTCGCGGGCTTCATGGGGACAGCTGAGATGTACCAGGTCAGCGCCATGCAGGCTGCCATGCCAGGTTTTGCAACCGCTTATGCGACCGGCGTGGCGTATGTCCTCAAGCTCGCCGGCGCCATGATCTTGGGCTCTGGAGACGTCGCTGCATTCCGGAGGCTCTGTGGGCAGGCGGCGGCCGCAGCGCTCGCGTTGGTGACGCTTCCAATACTTGTGGTGTTCATGTGGGCCGACTCGTACGCACTGGCATTTCATTTCGGAGAGCAGGCCTGCGTTTTCGCGACGGCCCTGGAATGCTCCCCGATCTACGAGGGTATGTTCGGCACTAGAAACCTGAGCGGCACGTTGCAGAGGTCGTTCACGGCGTTCGCCTTCGCCGCCTCCTCCAAGTGCCTGTACATGCTCGCCAAGGCTGCACTGTACTCGTGCCTGGACTTCAGTTTCATGGCACAGGCAAGTGTGGTGGTGCTTGTGGTAGTATTCGCGCCAGCCATGTGTGTGGCCCGCCTCTACTTCGACAGCGTGTTGGCCGTCTACGTCGCCATGTACCTGCCCACGCTCGTGATGGCCGTGGTGTTCGCCGCAAGGCTCGCCGTGAACACGCAAAGGATGGCCGACGGCAAAGCTGGACCGTGGAGCGGGGTTGCAGTGGCAGTCGTCGGCGGCGGTTGCGGCACCGCGCGCCCTCCTCCCCCTCCTCCTCCTCCCCCTCCTCCTGCGGGGCTGTTCAGTCCAACCCGCGGTGGCGCCGACAACATCGATACTTCTTCTCCTCCTCCTGTCGGGCTGTTTAGTCCAACCCGTGGTGGCACCGACCATATCATGAGGGCTGATTGCGACGATTGTTCCGCAGCGACTACTGGCAGGAACCAAGAGTGCCCTTGCCAACCAGCCCACGCGTCTTTCAGGATGCTTGGCCTTCCTGCTTGCGTGCGTGCTTGGTCAGCAGCACCCAGAGGAGCTGGGAGCGAGCGCGCTTCAGAGCTGAGCGAGGCATAGCACGCCAAAGTGGTGTTTCGCAGTCCAGCGCTATCCGGCTTGGCCCCCTGCCAGCATCCATGCACGCGATCTCGTTCTCCGAAGCAGAGCGTGAGCAGTACAGAATAATGCAGCAGCGCTCAAGCGTTCGACCACTGTGTCGTGTGGCCCACGCGGTCTGTAGATGGCCACTAATGCGTTCGCTTCGAACAGAAACAGGCTTTGCGTCCTTCTCTTCCCGACCCCTTTCGGAAGCCTCTTGAAGCTTCGCCCCCAATACTAAACATACACGCACACACACACACACACCACGCAAAACACACACACACAACACACACAATACACACAACACACGCAACACACACACAGCACACAACGCACACACAGCACACAACACACACAGCACACACAGCACACACACACACATACACACAGCACCCACAAACACACACAGCACACACACACAACACACAACACACAGCACACACACACAACACACACACACACACACACTCGCACACGCACACGCACACGCACACGCACACGCCACACATACAAACACACACACACACACATACACGCACATATACACACACACACGCCGACGCGCACACACGCACACGCACACATTCTCGCACACACACACACACATACACACGCACACGCACACGCACACGTACACACACACACACACACACACGCACGCACGCACGCACGCACGCACGCACGCACGCACGCACGCACGCACGCACGCACCTACGCACGCACGCACGCACGCACGCACGCACGCACGCACGCACGCACGCACGCACGCACGTACACGCGCGCGCGCCTACAGGAAGGACGCCACAACAACATCGTGTCTCTCTCCTCATTATTCCTCCTTCTCCTCTTCCTGATCAGCTTCATCCTCTCGCCTCCGATTAGCGCCTCCGATAACATACAAAGAACATGTTTGTCCCGACTCGCAACATCCATATTCACCAAGATCTCAAGAGGATTCGACCAGACACGTACCGCATGACGTTCCAGGCAACTTGCCGCACCACGTGCCAGGGGACCTGCATTAAGACGTGGCAGGGGAAACGCCACAGGGCGTTTCAGGGGTCCACCAGCGGACGCGCCAAGGGACCTGCCAGAGGACGTTCCACGGGATGTGCTACGCGAGGGACGCGCCAGGGGACACGCCAGGATGCGGGGACGCTCCAGGAAACGCGTCAGGGGACAAGCCAGGGGCGCGCCAGGGGACGTGCCACGGGACGGGGACGTGCCAGGAGGACGCGTCAATGGGAGTGCCAGGAGATGAGCCAGGGGGCGTGCCAGAGGGACGCGCCACGGAATGTGCGGAGGGCCGAGCCCAGGGAAGTGCAGGTGACGCGCCACGGACGTGCTGGGGAACGTGCCAAGGGATCTGCCAGGGCAGGTGACGCACCAGAGGGGTCGTGTCAGGGGACGTGTCAGGGGACATGCCGGGCGCCGCGCCAGGGGACGAGCAAGGGGTTCCAGGCGACGCGCCAGGGGGCGCGTCAGAGGACGCACCAGGGGGCGCGCCAGGGGACCAGGTAGCGGACGCGCTAGAGGACGTGCCAGGGGACGCGCCACTGAACGAGCCAGGGGACGCGCCAGGAGATGGGCCAGGGGACGCTCACTCAGGGGCCCTGCCTCGATTCCGATGCTGCAGCAGGGGGCCTGCCCATCATTAGGCTGTGGGGGCGCGCGAGCGGACGCTGCAGGGGACGCGGGAGGCATTAGAGCCTCCTGGGCGGGGCGCCAAGGCGCCGCCAAGGGCCTCGTGAGACCTCCGCACCCCATTCTTAGTCGACGATTTTTGTTTTTGGGGGGCGCACTGTCCTCGAGCGGAAGCCGGGATTTCACTTTTGCTTCAATCTTTTTCGGGGGGAGTGTAAGTGTTTGGGCCAGGCTTCTTGCAGACGGTTCACGCGAAAGCCTCCGGACTAATTTTTCCATCGTGAAGCAGTGGGGGTCTTTGGACCCTGTCAAGCAAGGGTTTCATGTGTGGGGGGGACGCACTTCCTCCGAGCGGTTACGCACGGCATACATGTATTTCGTGACAGGTAGGCCCGCGCCCAGTTTTGTCATCGAGCGGACCTCCGCCGGCCCACGTCGATCCGCGAACATGGCAACGGCGACAGCCGCAGACACGGCAACGGGGACAGGTTCGGCGTCGCTCACATCTGACCCTCGGCCCAGGCCTCTCCGAGAAAAGTGCGGCCGGAGCGACCTCACAGAGGGGGCCGCCGAGAGCACGCAAGCGAGGCGGCCTTTCCCCTCCTTTCCCTCCTCCTCCTCCTCCTCCTCCTCCTCCTCCTTCTCCTCCTCGTCCTCCTCCTCCTCCTCCTCCTCCTCCTCCTCCTCCTCCTCCTCCTCCTCCTCGGGAGCCTCCTCGGGAGCCTCCTGGCGCGCGCCCGCGAGCCTCGAGCCGGTTGCGTTTGCGCGTGGCGCTGTTTTTTCCCCCAGGGTCTTCTCCCTTCGAGCCGTGGCGAAGCGTGCTGGCTTGCCCACAGGCCCAGCAAGGAATGTTCCAAGAGCCTCTTTGTGGCCTGCACGACCTGTTCTCAGAACATGTCTGGCTGAGACCGATCTGTTTTAGCACATCGGCTTCATGTTCTAAGAACGTTGTTTTTGTTATTCGAACATGTTTGATAACATGTCGTGGTAGGCCTATATGAATGCCGGGACGGTCGGTCCCTGCTCAACTCTCCCCCTCACGTCGCGGCGTCCCCTGGTGATCCTGAGCGGGATCCCCAGCCCAACAGAAATCCCCCGCCCCCTCCCCCTCATGAGCTGCCTCGATACGCCCCTTTTGAAACGCAGCACGTTCCGTGCTCAACACATGCATGTCAAGACGTTGCGCGTTGGCTCAACGTATTGGCCACGTTTTGGCGAAAGTGCCGCGTCAGACGTACGTTTCCAATCTGCGTGTGGGCTCCGTGTCAACACGCTACGGGCTGCGTGCTGCGTATCGGGGAAGCTAAGCCACCCTCCCACCCCCCAGTCCCCCCCCCCCGTCCTCCCTAGTCTTAAGTCGGGCCTGTCCCTCTACGGGAGGAATATTCCAAAATAGTTATACCGTAAGGGCTTCGCCCTATGCCGCCGGCCCCCTGTCTCGGATCATGGGAGATGCAAAAGCTAAATCATGAGGCCTGGGCGCCGCCGTGAAGCAGTGTCGGGACCTGTTTGTTTTTCGACCCTGATCCTACGGATCTGCTTCACGGGTGCCACTGAATTTCAGACATGTGGCAAATCCTTCATGTTTTTGGACCCTGACCCCGCCGATCTGCGTGAGGGGTGCCAGCGAATGTCAGAAATATGGCAAATCCTATGTGTTTTTGCACCCTGACCCCGCCGATCTGCGTGAGGGGTGCCAGCAAATTTCAGAAATGTAGCAAATCCTTTGTGTTTTTGCACCCTGACCCCGCCGATTTGCATGAGGGGTGCCAGCGAATGTCAGAAATGTGGCAAATCCTTTGTGTTTTTGCACCCTGACCCCGCCGATCTGCGTGAGGGGTGCCAGCGAATGCCAGAAATGTGGCAAATCCTTTGTGTTTTTGCACCCTGACCCCGCCGATCTGCGTAAGGGGTGCCAGCGAATTTCAGAAATGTGGCAAAGCCTTTGTGTTTTTGCACCCTGACCCCGCCGATCTGCGTGAGGGGTGCCAGCGAATGTCAGAAATGTGGCAAATCTTTTGTGTTTTTGCACCCTGACCCCGCCGATCTGCGTGAGGGGTGCCAGCGAATGTCAGAAATGTGGCAAATCCTTTATGTTTTTGGACCCTGACCCCGCCGATCTGTGTGAGGGGTGTCAATTTTTACCCACCCCAGCAATTCAGAGCACACGCTCAGGGCGTGGTAAACATGCCCGTTTTGGGCCCCCCGTCTCGCGCGGTCCATCAACAAGGAACAGTAAGCAGTAAGATGTCAACAAGGAACAGTAAGCAGCAAGAAGCAGAACTCTAACAGTGGAGACTGGAAGCTGCAACTGGCACGAAAAGCTTCGGCCTACAGCCTGGTGGCCCCACAAGGGGGCCGGCGGGTAAAACATATGGGGACGATGGTGTTTTACTATTTGTAGCTATTGTTGTGCATGTTTTGCATACGTATATATATATATATATATATATCGTCCAAAATCCTCCTGTAGGAGGACATGCCCGACCTAACCCTGGTCCCCCCGTGTCCACCCCCGTGCCCGCGGCGAGGCGAGAGCCGCCAGCAGTCGGCCCACGAGTGGGTCGTGCCGCCGGCCCTGAGCTCCTCGGCCAAGCCGTACGGGACAGGCGGGCGCCCCGGAGGTGGTAAAACGACGCGAAGATCGGGATAAAATCGGATCGGGATAACCCGAAATCTCTGAGAATCGGCGGGTTTGGAGGATGTATTGGGCGCCGCGGCCGCTCCAGAGCGTTCCGGAACGCTCTGAGAGCGCTCCGGAACGCTCTGGACGATTTATCCCGATCCTAGCCCTGTTTTAGGTGGTGGTCGTGATCGTTTTCCCGTCGACGGCGTCGTCGTCGTCGTCTTGGGCGGCCTCGGCGTCGCTGTCGTCCTCGCCTCCGCCCTCGTTTTCGGCCTCGTCTTCGCCGTCTTTCGCCGTCGGTGTCGACGTCTTCTCCGCCGTCTGCACGTACCTGTTCGTCAACTTCGGCGTTTTCGTCGTCTTCGCCGTCGTCGTCTGCGTCGTCGACGGCAGCGATGTCTGCGTCCTTATCGTCATCGCCGACGTCATCCTACTTGGTCTTCGTCGTCGCGGTTGCATTCGCAGACGTCGTCGTCCTCGTCTTCGTCCTCATCGCCATCATCATCCGCCTGCTTCCCCTCCTGCTCCGGGAGGAGGAGGAGAGCTTTACGGTGTAGGCAGGCGACGGGAAGGAGGAGGAGGAGGTGGAGGAAGAGAGTTTCTGGCTCGCGGGCGGTGGTATGCAGTTCTAGGGTGTTGTGTACGCCGTTCTAGGGGGCGCCAGCGCATCCCGCAGAAAGAAAGGACGACGAAGAGGAGGAGGAGGGTTCCGGGCGAACGCGTGCGCGACCCACTTGGCCTCTGCCCAAGGCAGAAAGTATCACTGGACGTTGGCGACTGATGCGCCGCAGACGTAGCGATTGCATATTCTGCGTCGGTCGTCGCAGCGCAGGACATCATCGTGATGATGAGTGTCCTGACACGTTGGTGTGGCAGAGCGATGGATACACATCGAACGCTGGCGCCCCGCACGTGCATCCAGTCGTGCAACGTCGCAGGACCCTCATCACAATCAATCGTGTCATGACACGCTTGTGTGGCACGCCGATGTCATGCCACGCTGATGTACCAATAATGTACAGGATGGGGTCTTAAGTCTGCGCCGATCCTTTGAAGGATGGCCCTTCGCGTGTGTATCTAATCGTGTATCGTCGCAACACCGTCGTCGTAATGATGAGTGCCATGACGCGCTGGTGTGGCACACCGATGCCATAACACGCTGGGGTGCCAAACGTGTGCACTATCGGGTCCTCATGCAGCACCGATCCCAGGGATTGTGTAAGACCGCTCGGCCTTTTCAAGAGCCCTCTTGACGGGTTCCGAAGGCGATTTCGTGAACATGTCCTCTTCGGTGCGGCAGCGGCCAACAAATTCGTTTCATTGGTCGCACAGCACTTCGCCTGAGCTACAAGCACCGTCTTCCCTCATCAAACACGCGACACGCTTGGCCTCTGCCCAGGGCAAAAGGTATCAGCGGACGCTGGCGACCTATGCGCCCCAGATGAAGCGGTTGCATGTTCTGCGTGCGTCGTCGCAGCAGGAACAGCATCTTGATGATAAGTGCAATGGCGCGCTGGTGTGGCAGAGCGATGGATACACATGGAGCGCTGGCCCTCCGCAGCTGCATACAATCGTGCGCCGTCGCATGCACAGCATGATGATGACGATGATGATGATGATGATGATGACGACGATGATGATGATGATGATGATGATGATGATGATGATGATGATGATGATGATGATGAGTATGATGATGCATGTCACGACGCGCTGGTGTGGCACACCACTGTCATGACCCGCTGGCGGGCCAAGGATACGCACCATAGGGCCCCCTTCCAACACCGATCCACTGAAGGCTGGCCATCCGACTGTGTATTCAGTCGTATATCACCGCAAGACCACCATCATCATAATGAATGCCATGACGCGCCCGCGTGGCACACTCACGCCATGACACGCTGGCCCACCGAGAGTAGACACCACGGGGTCCTACTTCACAACCGATCCTTGAGACAGTGTAAAGCCCGTCTGCCTTCCCACGGGCGCTCTGGACGGGAAACCGTTCCAAGGCCGATTTCGTGGGCATTTCCTTTGCAGCGTCACGCTGGCGAAACATTGCGCTCCCCGGGTCGACAAGCATTGGTCCTGAGCTACAAATTCCGTTTTTCCCCGCTGCCTGTTTTCTCAACTCGTGTCTTTTTAGTTTTAAAAAGGATTAGGAGGGGAAAAAACACACAGACACAAATAATCGTTGACTCCCAGGAAAATATGGAAAAAATATGGGAATTGGGGGGGAAGACAAACACACAGAAAATATATGAAAATATGGGGAATCGTGTGATTTGTGAGCATTTATTTGTGTGTCCCAGGGCACCTTTCAAAGGAAGTGTGCAGCTTGATTTCGCCGGTGATCACAGCCCGGCATCACACATCTCGTTGCGTGGCCCTCGGGGGCCACCGCCCCGCTCCAAAACGCGCGGGCACGCACCCTTTCCCAGACCACGAAGCGCAGTGCTTCCTCGCATCCGCAAGCAAGACCACCCAAGATAGCTGCCTGCATCAGGGTCCTCCTGTGTTCCCTCAAGAGCAGAAGAGGGAGAGGGGGAGGGGAAGGGGGGAGGGAGAGAAAGAGGGAGGAGGAGGGGGAGGGGGAGGAGAGGGGGAGGGGGACAGGGAGGGGGAGGAGGCGAGGGGAGGGGCAGGGGGAGTGGGCGGGAGGAGAAGCAGGAGGCCAGGGATGGAGAGCGCCCGAGGAGGTGCCGATCTTCTCTGAGGAGGTATGTTCAGCAGTTGTTATTCGGGCAGGCGTCGTGCGTTACCGGGACGAGCTGCTTAGGAGCGAAGAGGGGGGAAAGGGAAAACATCGGGGAATGTTGCAGGAGGATGAAGGGGTAGCAACGGTTGGACGAGGAGGAGGAGGAGGAGGAGGAGGAGGAGGAGTGGGAGGAGGACGAGGAGGAGGAGGAGGAGGAGGAGGACGGGGAGGACGGGGAGGACGGGGAGGGGGATTGGAGTAGGCCCAAGATGAATCAACGATGTTGCAAGCCACCCTACCCTTCTCACCCCCCTCCTCACAAGTCCCTGCAAGCCGTCCTGCCCGCTTCGGGAAGCGCCCCCTTGGAAAATCAGCGCCTTCTTGTGTGCCTGCCATTCAAGCGGGGGCCACGTCTTGGAAAAGAGCCCGCTGCCCTGCATCCCTCGACCGAGCAATGCGGAGCGCCCGGCGCTTTGCGACCGTGCGGCTCCACGCGGTGTCCTCCAGCGAGGTCCCCTCTCGAGCAAGGACCGCCCCCCCCCCTGCCCCCCCACCTTCGCCCACGAACAGCCGTGATGCGCGGGGGTACTGGACCAGCCCCACGCGCTTCAGTAACCTGCTTTCGCACCTCGTCGCTCGTTTTCCCTCGAACGTTCACTCGCTGCCGTGATGTAAGGTACAAAAGACCCCCGTCGATATTCAATGTCGCGTGGCCAACATTCCTATGGGCGCCCGCGGCGAGGAAGTCTCGCTGCGAGGGCCCCAGGCGTCGAGGGGGAGAGCTGCCCTCCACCCGCGCCGCGGTGCTCCGAGCTCGGGCCTCGGGCCTCCGGCGGGTCGAGCGAAGGGGCGGCGGGGCAGCGAGAAGGCGAAGGGCCTCCTCGGGAGGGGGCGGGGCCTCGCGGAGGGCTGCTCCCGCCTGCTCTGCGAGGTGCTGCCCTGCGCCTCTGGGGATAGGGCCCGGGAACGAACGCCTCGGAGGGCCACAAGGGGACTGCCGAGCCTTCCGAGGAGGAGGAGGAGGAGGAGGAGGAGGAGGAGGAGGAGGAGGAGGAGGAGGAGGACGAGGACGAGGGTGAGGACGAGGAGGAGGAGGAGGAGGAGGGGGAGGAAAGGGAGGAGCAGGAGCAGGAGCAGGAGCAGGAGCAGGAGCAGGAGCAGGAGGCTCGCCGCCGATGGCTCGCATCCTCACCAGGCGTCTCGAGCGAACGCCCCCATGCCCCCAACCGGGGCTCTTGCCCTTCGGGGTTCTTGCTTCTCGCTCTCTTGCGTGACCGAGCGTGTGCTCCGGGTGCTGTAAGCTTCGTGGGCGCCTCGCGGGCGCCCCCGAAGCTTCGGGTGGGTTCTCCGAGGACGCGCCGCGCTGCCGCCCACGCCGCACCGTGGGCGCCGGGCGCCCCGTGCGCCGGGTGAGCTGCCCGAGGATCCCGGATCCGCCACAGTGCCGCCCGTCCCGCCTCGTGGGCGCCCCGTGCTTGGAGCTGGCACGACGCAGTTCCCACCACATAACTTACAGCACAGCACAGCTTGCACAGCATATCTGGCATCGCATGGCTTGCACCCCACAGCGTTCACCTCTGGCTCGCACTGCATACATCGCCGTGACGAAAGTTTCTTTCAATTTGCCTTTTGGAATGACGCGCTCGTGCAGAGTAGTTCGTAGTAGTTTTACTAAAATACTCCGCGCGCAATCGCATCCCGCTCGATCATTTGTATGGTTTGGCGCGGAGTAGTTTCCGATCCCGTTTTGGGGTTAACAGAGTTATTAACGTCTCCGGGATCGGGAACTACTCCGCCGAATGACCCAGCATCATGTCATGTTAGGAATATTGAGAGGGATGGGAGAGATCTTCATCATAGCAAATTGAAGAAACTTTTGTCACGGCTGCGCAACTTATGCGACACAGTTGATTCAAGAAGCTTGCGACATTCCGCCGACCCCAGCAGCAGTGAATCCGTTTGGAGTCGTGCCACCGTGCCTGGCCTGTGGGTCAGGAGCCCCAGGACGCATTTGAGGGTCTCCTGGAGTGCCTCTCCGGGGCCGCTGGGAGCTAGCAGGAGGGCTCTTAGGGGCATCTGATTGGCGTTCGGGGGCCTCTTGGTAGCCTCTTGGTGTCCTCTTGGGTGCCTTTTGAAAGCCTCCTGCGGCCCAGGGTCAAGATCCAGTTGCCCTGCTTCGAGAATCCTCTGCCGCGCTCGGACCGGTGCCTCCGTGGGGCGGGACTGGGGGCGTCAGACGGGGAGGTGTCATGGAACGTCCGACCAAACATGTCAATTGTTGCACCACGTTTTGCTTGGAAGGGGGAAGCGCTTCCGGTCTTTAGTCAAGACGTGAGCAAATGTTGGGTTCGATGCGTCGGGGGTGTTCGACTCGCCAGAAGAAGCGAGAGATCAGCAAAAACACAAGGGCGCAACACACACACACACACACAAACGCGCACACACACACACACGCACACACGCACACACACACAAACACATTCACACAGACACACACAAACGCGCACACACGCACGCACGCACGCACACGCACACACACACACGCACACACGCACACACACACACACGCACACACACACGCACACACACACGCACACACACACACACGCACACACGCACACACGCACACACGCACGCACGCACGCACGCACGCACGCACGCACGCACGCACACACACACACACACACACACACACACACACACACACATACGCACGCACACACGCACACACGCACACACGCACGCACGCACACACACACACACACCATCCGCTGCAAGCGTGGTGGCCGAACCATGTTCCGAGCGCGTTCCCGATCGCAGTCGGCGCTCTCGACCTTGGTGGACACACCGTGGCGCACCCGCCGGTTCCCAGAGATCCCTGGCCTGCTCCCTCGCGGTGCGATCTTTGTCCTGGCCTCGGCTCGGGAGGAGGAGGAGGAGGAGGAGGAGGAGGAGGAGGAGGAGGCGGAGGAGGAGGAGGAGAGGAGGAGGGAGGAGGAGGAGGAGGAGGAGGAGGAGGAGAAGGAGGGGAGGAGGAGGAGGAGGAGGAGGAGGAGGAGGAGGAGGGAGGAGGAGGCAGAGGGCGGCCAGCGCCAAGACGCCCCAGACCCGCTGGCCGCCCCGGGCGGCTGCGCGGGCGCTCCCCTGCCGCAGGGGATGCCCCCCGAAGCGGTGCCGCAGCGCGGCCCGGCCACCCGCGGGGGGTCCTCACCGCCGCCGCCGCCGGCGGCAGGGGCGTGCTCCTGCGCCGCTCGCGGGCGGCGCTCTCGCTGCGGCCGCCGCCCCGAGTGAGGGGCCGATTTCCCAGAGGAGGAGGAGGAGGAGGAGGAGGAAGAGGAGGAGGAGGAGGAGGAGGAGGAGGAGGAGGAGGAGGAGGAGGAACGAGGAGGAGGAACGAGGAGGAGGGAAAAGGAGGAGGAGGACGAGGAGGAGGAGATAGAGGAGGAGGAGGAGCATGAGGAGGAGGAGGAGGAGGAGGAGGAGGAGGAGGAGGAGGAGTGGGAGGAAGTGGAGGAGGAGGAGGAGGAGGAGGACCAGTGTAAACCCAAGAGTGACCACCGATGTTGGAATAAAGCCTCCCTCCAGGCTCCCTCTTCACAGGCCCCTGCACCGGTTCATTTCGATTGGGGGAATTGCCTCGTTGGAAGATAACCGATTGAAGACCCTGAAGCATGTCAGTAAATCGTTCTCGGGATTCCAGCGCCACGATCAACCTGATTGTGACGTGTTGAAGATCCTGGATCGTGCCAGAACGCCATTCCTGGGACTTCAACACAGCGAATCATCGCAACTGCTGCGCCCGCGTAATCCTGATTATGTTCGGATCACAGTTCTGACACGTTGACGATGGGAATCCGTGAAACTCTTGCATTTTTTACAAGGAATGTGCGCCGCGCTACGGCGAGAGCCACATGTTGAAAACCACCCGCCCTCAATCCACGAAACTCTTGCAAATGATTAAAACGAATGTGCGCCGCCCTAATACGAGAGCCATATTTTGAAAACCACCCGCCCTCCATCTGTGAAAACTGGTTGCAAATATTTAAAACGAATGTGCACCGCGCTAAGGCGAAAGCTACATGTTGAAAACCACCCGCCCTCCATCTGTGAAACTGTTGCAAATTTTGAAGCTTCAGAGTCATACATGGTGAGCAAGTCTCAGGCGGAACGCCCGGCCCGCCCTAAAAATTGGCCTCGGGGTGCGACAGGGAGAAGTTACTCACAAAGGAACGGAGGAGGAGGAGGAGGAGGAGGAGGAGGGCGAGGAGTAGGAGGAAGAAGAAGAGGGCCTCCCCATCCTCCCGGAACTCCTTTCTCCCCCGTCCTGCCCGTGGTGGCGGTGGTGGACACTTGGCCCATCCCCGAGGGGCGCGCCTCCGCGCGCGCCGGGGCCCACGCCAGCACCGCCGGCAAGGCCGCCTACAGTACGACGGCCGCCGGGGCCGCACCGTCGAGGCACGCGGGGCGCGGAGGCGGCGGCGGGCGCCCGCGGAGGTGCGGCGCGCCGCCGCGCGCGGCGTGGGCCTGCCGCGGCGTGGCGGGCGGTCGGCGCGCCGCCACGAGCTCCACCGCGGCGCGCACGCGCGGCGGCCCTGAGCTCCGCCGTGGCAGGGACCGCGCTGCATTTTGCCATGGCGTGGGTCGGACCCCCTCCCCCCCCCCAAACAAACAAAAAAAAAAAAAGCTGTTGGCGCCCCGCGCGGAGTGCTCGGATATCCGCGCTGGGCCCCCTCCCCCCTGCTCCCGGCGGCGCGGGGGCCCAGCGCAGAGCCAAGAAGTGCGCGCGGAGCGCCACAGGTTTGTGTTCGTGTCGTTCTTACTTCTGCTAATGAGGGGGGGGGGGGGGAGCGCTCCTGCCGCAGCGAAGGGCGGCGGCGGCCCGTGGCCGCACGGGCCTCGGCCGCCGCCCTCTACCAGGGAGGGTCCGCCGCCGCACTGGCCAGGGCGGTCCTCGGGCGAGCGAGCTGCGGCCCCGAAGCCTTGCCGAGGAGAAGGGCTCGGAGCGAGCACTCTGGCCCAGCGTACCAGCTCCTCTCCGGCCCTCCGTGCAATGGGGGGGGGGCTGCTTCGGCCTGCCCCGTCGCGTGCTTCCTGCCCGCTCCGCGCTCGGGCCCCTGGTCGGCCTCCCGCGCGCGCGAGGTTCCAACTGGTCCATCTTCGGCTCCACGGAGACGGTGAAGGCGGGCCGCCGGCAGCCCGGAAGGAGTGCAGGTTCGGGGCTCAAGAGACGGGAGGGTCAATGCCAACGCGGGTCGGTCAGAGCGCCGGACCAGGCAGGACCATGTAGTTAGAGCCATGTGCACTGACCCGGGCTCGGGCACAGGATCCTGCAGGATCCTGCTGGATCTTGCAGGATCCTGCAGGTCTGGATGGACCCGGGGCAGCAGATCCCGACAGATGTCGTCCAGAGGTGGCTCAGGAGGGGAAGGAACAGCCACAATAAATCGTCGATCCCCCGGAACATGTGAGAACGTATGGGAAGTGGGGGGGAAGACGAAACCCGAGAAACTGTGGCAAAATATGGGGGGGTCCTGGGATTTGTGCGCAGCTCTGATTTATGTGTGTGTGCCCCTGGGCCCCTTCAGTGGCGGGGTCTTGTAGGGCAGCGGGCCCCGGCCTTCCCTCCGCCCTCGGCCTCCCCCAGGCCCCTCCCAGACCGCGGGGGGACGCCGAGAGCCAGCTCGTGACGAGTCGGGCCTTTCCCTCCACAGGGGGGGGAATAGCCAAAAATAGTCCAAAAATAACATGGGGACGATTTTTAAAATTATTTTTGAGCATGTTTGCATCTTTGTTTGGGCATTTTGCATTTTTCGTCCAAAATCCGCCTGTAGGGGGACATGCCCGACCTAAAGCCAGCCTGGTCAGACGCTCCCTGGGACTCGGGAGCCGTCTCGTCCAGGCCTCGTTGGGCCGAGAGGGGAAAGGGGGATGGCCTCGAGGCAGTTTTGTTGGGGGATAGAGGGTTCTTCAGGCGATCGCAAACATGGATCAAGCGGGCGTGGATTAGCGACGGGTCCCGTTTCCATGGGAAGTCGCGGATGTCCGCCGCCGAACGAGGCGGCGCTGGCCGCATGTTGGGGAGGGCCACCTCCCCCGATCCATGGATTTGGCGACCGCGCGCCGAATCCACGGATCGCCAATCCATGTTTGCGCGCCCCCGAGTAATGTTCCCGCTCCGACCCGTTCGAGCTGCCTCTGCGCCTCTGTGCCAACCGACAGTGTCGAGCCGATGGGCCCCCGAGAGCACCGAGCACCCCTCGAGCAGCTCATCCGTGGTCAGCCTGCGCCCGCAGGCCAGCACCGAGTCGAGTCCAGGGGCGAGGGGACCAGAGAGTCCATTGTTGCATCCAGCGATTCGCCATCCCGTCCAGGATGCGCCCGCTCGACGGCCGAACCCTCGAGCACGCTCAGGGGGTGCAGGCTTCTCACCGGAGAGAGGGCCCTGCAGCCCGAGACGCCTTCCTCTGCGCGAGGGCTCCCAGAAGCCGCCTCGACTCCGAAGCCGCCTGAGACCTCAGCAGCGCGAGCCTGGCCCTCCAGCGCGCACAGGAACAAGAGCACACGAACCCAGATCCCTCCGTGCTCGTTTCGATTCCTCCGATTCGATCCGATTCGACTTCGATGACTTCCGGTTCCGATCCGATTCGATTCGGGATTCCGATTTGGGTTCCGATCTCTCCTTGGGGGCATGTACTGGCCAGCCGATGTCCGCCGATTCGACCTTTCCCGGCTCGGCTGCTGACCTCCGCCGATCCGATCCCTTTCGATCGCCGATCCGACCTATCGGAAAGTCGGATCGGCGCTAAGTAATCGGCTTATCGGTAGGTCGGATCCGACTTATCGATAAGTCCGATCGATAGGTCGGATCGGCGATCCGACCTATCGATATGTCGGATCGGCGCTAAGTAATCGGCTTATCGATAAGCCGGATCGGCGCTAAGTAATCGGCTTATCGATAAGTCCGACTTATCGATAAGTCAGACTTATCGATAGGTCGGATCCGCCCAGCATCGAATCGATGATTACCGATTCGCTGCTGGGCGCCCCTGGATCCCCGAAGACCTGCTTCTGCTCCCATCCGGCGGCTCTCTCCGTTGGCTTCGGGCCTCCAGGGGGGGCCGTGGCCAGGCCCTGCAGTGACCCATCAGACCCAGCTCCGGGCCGGAAAAAAATCAGGAGGGCTAAAAACACACAGACACAATGAGTCGTCGACTCCCAGAAAAAATGTGGGAAAGTATGGGAAGTGGGGGGGGGGGAAGGCAGAAACCCCAAAAATATAGGAGAATATAGGGGAAGCTTGTGATTTGTGTGTATTTCTTTTTGTGTGTGTGCGTGTGTGTGTGTGTGTGTGTGTGTGTGTGTGTGTGTGTGTGTCTGTGTCTGTGTCTGTGTCTGTGTGTGTGTGTCTGTGTCTGTGTCTGTGTCTGTGTCTGTGTCTGTGTGTCTGTGTCTGTGTCTGTGTGTCTGTGTCTGTGTGTCTGTGTCTGTGTCTGTGTGTCTGTGTCTGTGTGTCTGTGTGTGTGTCTGTGTGTGTGTCTGTCTGTGTGTGTCTGTGTGTGTCTGTGTGTGTGTCTGTGTGTCTGTCTGTGTGTGTGTGTGTGTGTTGTCTGTGTGTCTGTGTGTGTGTGTCTGTGTGTCTGTGTGTCTGTGTGTCTGTGTGTCTGTGTTTGTGTGTCTGTGTGTCTGTGTGTGTCTGTGTGCTTCTGTGTCTGTGTCTGTGTCTGTGTGGTGTGTCTGTGTGTGTGTCTGTGTGTCTGTGTCTGTGTGTCTGTGTCTGTGTGTCTGTGTCTGTGTGTCTGTGTCTGTGTGTCTGTTGTGTGTGTGTGTCTGTGTCTGTGTGTGTCTGTGTCTGTGTGTCTGTGGGTCTGTGTCTGTGTGTCTGTGTCTGTGTCTGTGTCTGTGTGTCTGTGTGTGTGTCTGTGTGTGTGTCTGTGTGTGTGTGTCTGTGTGTGTGTCTGTGTGTGTGTCTGTGTGTGTGTCTGTGTGTGTGTCTGTGTGTGTGTCTGTGTGTGTGTCTCTGTGTGTCTCTGTGTGTCTCTGTGTGTCTCTGTGTGTCTCTGTGTGTCTCTGTGTGTCTCTGTGTGTCTCTGTGTGTGTGTGTGTGTGTTCGTGGGCCCCTTCGCAAGCTTGGATCCGGGACGAAAACCAAGACACCCCCAGGGGGAAAAAAAACACACAGACACAATGAATCGTCGACTCCCAGGAAATGTGGGAAAATCTGGGAAGTGGGGGGGGAAGACAGGTCAGGTCAGGTCAGAAGCCTTGCGCCAGACGGCGCGCGAGCAGGGTGAAACGAGACGATTGCGCCTGCGGAGGGGCACTTCGGCACTCCATCCAAGCCAGTGAGCGGAGCCCTCCATCGGAGAGGCGTCTCGCAAGAATCCGCTTTATGGGGGTAGCAGTGTAAGAAATATATGGGAACGGATGTAGAAGGATACTTCCTGGGGGGAAGACAAAAACCCCAAAAATATAGGGAAAATATGGGGGATCTTGTGATTTGTGTGTGTATTCATTTGTGTGTGTTCGTGAGCCCCTACACAAGCTTGGACCCGGGACGAAACAAAACGCACCCCCAGGGGAAGGGGGCCTCGGGCCGCGGAGGGAGCAACTCAGGACTCGGATCGGAGGACACGCGCAGTCTTCACTCTGGGTACGGATCGCACGGGGCCGAGACGAGGACAGTGAAGGGGCCCAAGGACACACAAATAAATACACAAATAAAAAGATTCCCCATATTTTCTGGGTTTCTATCTTCCCCCCACTTCCCATATTTCCCAACATTTTCTGGGGAATCGAGGATTAATTGTGTCTGTGTGTTTCTTTGCCCCCTGAGACAGATCCGCTCCAGAGCGTTCCAGGACGCTCTCGGAGCGTCCCGGGACGCTCTGACGAGGCCGCGGCGCCCGAGGCATCCTCCAGAGCCGCGGGATCTCGGAGCTTCTCGAGTTAGCCTCACCCGTTTGTTTCCGTGTCCTGGCTTCGTCTTGGGTCGGGACCTCTGATCGGAGGATGTTGGGGGCCACCCCCGACCAGAGGTATGCTCCGAGAGGCACGAGTGTTCCCTTCGCTGGCGATTTTTCTCCCCCACTCCCTTCCTTTCCGACGAAGCATAAAGCCGCTCAGAACTGGGCCACTCTGGGATACACCCCAAGGGAGCTATTCGGACGCTCCCATTATCGAGGATGGACGCACCTCCCTCGTATACCCAAGGATTGGGCCTCACAGCTTTGGTCCATTCGACAACCCCACGAAGCCTGGGATAGGGGTCGACGTATCCCTCGTTATCCCCAGACGCTCATCGAGCCCGGCCGGGAGCACGAGGGAGTATATTGTTCGTCCAAGAATTCCCCTTATATGGGAGGACATGCCCGACCCAGCTGCAGCCCTCCCAGAAGGGCAGCGAGCGCGGGGCCGCCGCGACGCCCGCCGCCCACGCCGCGGCGAGGCCTCTGCGCACGAGCGGGCGGCGCCGCGGCGGAAGGCGCCGTCGACGCGCGCCAGCTCGCGCGGGGAGTGCTCGACTGAGCTCTCGAGGGACTCCTCGACGCAGGCCGCCGCGCCCGCCGCTCCCGCCGAGGGGGGGCGGCGGGGCACGCTTGGGGGGGGGGAAGGGAAGGGACGCCACAGTGCTAAGTCGGGCATGTCTCTCTACATCATTCAATCATAATGGTAGTAAGATTAATAATAAGGGTGATGAAAATAATAATAACAATGATATAGAAGAAGAAGAAAATAAGAATCATAATACTGATGAAAATGATGATAAGACGAATAACAGTAATACGAATAAGTAAATAAGCACATACGTAAATAACAATAAGACTAATACTACTAATCCTATTTTTTATTTCTAATGGTGATAATAATCATCACCATACTAAAAATAAGTGCCATGATAACAATACAGTATGGGAACGATGTTTCGACTATGTTGGACTATGTTGGAGTATGTGTTGGCTATCTTCAAGCTGTTCCTCCAAAGCCCGCCTGCGGGTTGACATGCCCGGCCCGACCGCAGTGCCTGCTCCTGGCTCGCAGCCTGCAGGCGGGCCCCGAGGCCCAGAGGTTGGCAGCCAGCACCGGCGTCGGCGGGCTGTCTCCCCCCGAGGGGCGCGGGGCCCGACCTCGGCGGTGGTGGCAAGCTTCGGGCCCGCTGGGTGGCCAGGAGGCGGCCACCGGCAGCGGAGTCCTCCTCCTCCTCCTCCTCCTCCTCCTCCTCCTCCTCCTCCTCCTCCTCCTCCTCCTCCTCCTCCTCCTCCTCCTCCTCCCTGTGTTGGTGATGGTGGCAATGTGCGGGCCTCCGAGCAGTGGCGTGAGCGCAGACTTTCGGGGGTCCACGCGGGGCTTGCGGGGGTCGGCGCTGGCCGCACCCCCTCGGGAGGCGCTTCTGGCGCCGCCGCCAGCACGCTGCGCGCACCGGAAAAGGGGGAGGCGCAGCGCCCACTTCTCACCCGTCTCATCCTCCTCCCTCCTACCTCACCCTCCCCCTCCTCCTCCTCCTCCTCCCTCCTCCCTCCTCCTCCTCCTCCTCCTCCTCCTCCTCCTCCTCTGTGCTTGTGCAGGCGGTCATTGCGGCGCGGAGGTACAGGCAGAGACGGACCCCGAAGCCAGGGCTTGCCTCCTCTTCATTTGTTCGAGGGAGTGTGTCGAGCAATAGTAGCAGTAGCTGTTCAAGTAGCAGTGGTTAGGTCAGCGGAGACTTGTCCCCTCTGGCACTCTCCACCTGCTCCTCCTCCTCCTCCTCCTCCTCCTCCTCCTCCTCCTCCTCCTCCTCCTCCTCCTCCTAGTGAGAAGGAGGGGGAGGAGGAGCACCTACAGCGCCTCTCTGTACAGGCTGCGGTCGCGAGGCGGAAGATGGATGAACAAACAAAAATGTTTACGTTGCCTGTTGCCGTCCGATTCGTGCCCGTCCAGGCATGGCTCTCCCCATACCCCTAACGCCGACCCTCCGAGGTCTCGACCCATGCCCCGGGACCGGCTTCTCACCTTGAGTCGCTTCTTGACGGTCCCGAGGGCTGGTATGGGCCCTCAGAGGCCGAAAAAAGCGACCCCCCCCGTCGTGATTTTTGTTCACAGCCCGAGGTGGCCGAGGCTTTTCGCCAAAGGCTCCACGGAGGGGAGGCCAGTCCCCCGCTGGCCCTCGCGCCCGTCTGCCTCGCGTCGTCTCTCGTCTCCTATTTTGACTCCCGGGCGGGCCTCACCCGCTGCGGCCGAGCACGGCGCGGTCCGCCGCAACTGGGGGTTACGTCGGGCATGTCACTGCACAGGATAAAATTCGAAAATGATCAGCAGACAGTCTGGGGGCGAGCTTTCGAGTAGTTTTGACTATTGGGTCTGCCTGGCGAGCTGCAGTTTCACTCGAAAGCCTGGTGGATCACTTCAGGCACTGAACTTTCTGCTTTTTGGTCGCGCTTGCTACCTATATGCCGCCGCTGCGTGTCGTCGTATACTGCACCGTGCGTCGCAGTGGAAAAATGACTATTACTGAATACTCGTTGTGGATTTGTCCTATTTTTCTTCCAAGATCCGCCTGTAGGAGGACATGCCCGACCTAACGCTAGGGGTGTGACTGTCGGCAGGTGTCTGGCGGCAGGTCTTCGTGGCGGGCCTTGGGCTCCGGACGGGCGCATCGGCCATGACCCTCTCTTCGATGCGTGCGTGGACAGTCGTTCCCAGGGGGCGATGCCTACGATCGAAGGCCTCCTCCTCGTCCTCCTCGTCCTCCTCCTCCTCCTTTTCTTCCTCTTCCTTCTCCTCCTCCTCCTCCTCCGCCTCCTCCTCCTCCTCCTCCTCTTCCTCCTCCTCCCCCTCCTCATCCGCCTCCTCCTCCTCCTCCACCTGTCCCCCCTGGGCGGCGTCCCAGAGGTTCCCGGCGGCATCCCAGGAATGGATGGCCGAGGCGCCTCTGAAGGGCACCTCTGGGGGCCCTTCTCCTCCTCCTCCCCCGCCCCCTCCTTCTCCTCCTCCCCCTCCTCCTCTCCTTCTCCTCCTCCTCCTACTCCTCCTCCTCCTCCTCCTCCTCCTCCTCCTCCTCCTCCTCCTCCTCCTCCTCCTCCTCGGGGGGCCCCTGGCAGGGTGTGTGAGTGCTCCTCGCCACCTCCCTGCCGTCGTCCTGGTGCCCTCGGCAGTCGGCGCATCAGGAAGGCAGGCGGCGTCGGGGAAGCTCCGAAGCTAGATGCGCCCGCGCCCGAAATGCACTCGGTGCTGGGGTGTCGGTCGCAGCGTTGAGCACGGATGAAGTCCCCCCAGAAGGTGCGCCAGGCACACCATGCGAGCATCTCCGCTCACAGTCTGGAGCCGACGTCGGCGCGTGCTGGCCATCGGTTCAAGGCCCGCAGCGGCACCATGCCTATTTTCCAAGCGTGGGTTGCATTCTTGGAGAACCTTTCTGATGGACTGGCTGGCGTGAGTAACAGTACCCGTTCAAGGTCTGGATGGACCTGCTGGGCTGTTGCTGAGACTCGCTCAAGTTTAACGATGTTCCAGCCGACTTTAGCCTTGATCACCAGAAAGAGTTTTCGAGCACCAAGAAAGTGCCGAAACTGCAGGGTCTTCACGTGTCGGGCCCTGGGAGGCGATGCTCGTTTGACGCTGCTTCGATCGTTTTTGGGGTGCTCGAAATGTATGCTTGGGATGTGGTCCTTGCAAGCACGATGGGAGCAGCATGACTCGAGTTGCGAACCCGGCGGCCATCTCCGCCGGGCTCTCCCGCCTCGTCGGGCCCCATGCGGGCTGGGCCACCTGCCGGGGCGCGCAGAGCGTGGCGCCTCGCGCCCCCCCCGGCGGGGCCCGAGAGCACCGGCCCTCCACGGTGGCTCACGCGACCGCGCGAAGGCGGGCGCGCGCCCCGCCTTCGAGCCTCCAGGAACCTCCCCCCGTTGCCCCTGGTGCAGTCCCACGCCTTCCAACAGAGGAAAACGAGCTATGCACATACACGCCGATTCTGGCCAGGCCCATCCTGAGCACAGGATCGGTGCATGCGCCCTCCGACCTTGGCCAGGAAGGCATATGCGCCGATCCTGGGTCAAGGATGGGCCTGGCAAGGATCGGTGCATGTGCATAGTTCTCTTCGCCCGATTCTAAGAGCTTCCTGGCTGACTCACTTGCCCATGCTATGAACAGAGCTCGCGGCGTCCATCGCCGCGCGCCTGCGGCCCGCAACAGGGGGTAGAGCTAAGCAGCAGCAACAGCACAGACCATCGCCATCACCCCACCCTACTTACCTACCCCGCTCCCCAGCACTTCCCTGTTGGTGGTGCTGTGATGTGAGAGGTTGCCGTGGGGGCTGCGCGGTGCGGGAGGATCCCTCCCCAGAGCTTAATAAACAAGCACGAGCCATAAGATTCCTCCCCCCTTTATCATCATCGGGTGTTGCTAGAAGTGCCCCTGGCCCAAGGTGCCGCCAGGATTTCCCAAGGAGCCCCCCATGGCCTCCAGAGCTCAGGAGGGAAAAAACACGCAGACACAATTAACCGTCGACTCCCCAGAAAATATGGGAAAATATGGGAAGTGGCGGGGAAAACAAAAAAACGCAGAAAAGATGGGATATCGTTTTATTTGTGTATATTTATTTGTGTGTCCCTGGGCCCCTTCAAGAGCATCCCCCACGAGGCACACCGTGCCCGAGGGGCTCCAGAGTGGAGCGACGAGCTGGAGGGGGGACCTTCGGCAACCCCCCGACCCCAACTCCTCGCCGCAGGGGGAGGGAGGACGAGGGAGGAGGAGGAGGAGGAGGAGGAGGAGGAGGAGGAGGATGAGGAGGAGGAGGAGGAGGAGGAGGAGGAGGAGGAGGAGGAGGAGGGAGGAGGGAGGAGGAGGAGGGGGGGGATAGGGGGGGGATGGGGGGGGGCGGGGCGCGGCCCGAGCGTGCCCAGATCGAGCCCCGCCAACCCCGAAGCCCACGCGAGAGGGCCCGGAGGCAGGGCGGAGGAGCCGAGCCAGGCCAGCCCCCTGGGGAGCCCCGTGGATCCCGCGTTGTCTGGCTTCGCGTGCGCCATGGAGGAGGTTCGCCCACTCCAGCCGCCTGAGGCCCCGCCTTCCTGTGCCCTGTCTCCCTAATTGAAGCTGTACGTAGCCCGCCTAGCTCTTAGCGGAAGAGGTTCGCTCTCGCCCCGCAGATCAAAAAAAAAGTGTGCCGTGGAGGAGGCATGGGGTCGAGCTCCCCTTCGTACTGCTCCTCGCCTCGTCCTCCCCGCCTGCAGCTGTCAGGCCCTGTCGTGGGAGGCGAGGGGGCCGCCGGCCGCCCCGAGCGCCTGAGGCCCTGCTCGGCAGGCTGGCGGACAGGGAGGCGGCCGCCTCCTCCGCCCCCCCCTCGGGGGGAGGGGGGGGGGGGGAGGGCGCACCGGCCTGGCGCAGCGGAGGGGACCTCAAGGAGATCGCAGACATGGATCACGGGGGCGTGGATTAGCGACGGGTCCCGCTTCCATTTGGGAAAGTGCGGATGTCCGCCGCCGAACGAAGCGGCACCGGCCGCCTTTTGGGGAGGGCACCTCCCCCGATCCATGGATTTGGCGACCGCGCGCCCAAACCATGGATCGTTAATCCATGTTTGCGCGCCCCCGAGATCCGAAGCGCGGACTGGAAAGCAGGACCGTCCCCAATGCAGTGGGGGCATTCGTTAAGGAATGGCCCAAGAGGCTTTCAGACCCCTGGGGGATCCCTTATCTGATGAAGGCGGCCGTGTTATCAATGGCCGATCCACGATCGGAGTGTCACCTGCCTCTCGACCCTAGATTCCTTACTTAAGGGTTCCATAGTATCCAAAGCTTTCACCGTAGTCAAGGGAGGAAAAGGTACCCATGCCGCGACCCTTGCCTCGTTTTTGCTTGTCTGGGCCTCATGGGAGGCCCTCGTCGCCGCCGCCAGGTTCGCCTCTCTCAGTTCTGGTCGGAACGCACTCCGCCCGGGGAGTAGCGGTATTGGCATGTCTTGGTTTCCCCGAGTGGGGAAGGGCGGAGGGGGGACGGGAGGAGGAGAAGGAGGAGAAGGAGGAGAAGGAGGAGGAAGATGAGTTTTCTCTTTCTCTGTTTTTCTTTTGTTATTCTTCTCTATTTCTCTTTCTACCTCTCTCTCCTCCGCGTGCGTCCGTCGCCGTCGTTTCTCGCGTGTGCGGGCCCACGGTGCCGAGTCTCATTTCTCGTAGGTGCACTGCGGCGTGCGGAGCGTAATCATGCCCGTCGCCAAACCGCGCTGTTCGGTAAGGAGTTCAGGTTTCGGGGGGGGGGGGGGCGCTGCTCAGAGGTCAACGCGCAAGGCGTCAGAGTCTCCGACGGGGCCAAGATCCGCAAAGATGTAAGTTATGTGCTTGTATATGCTTTTGTGCTTTCGAAGCAGTCGAATAAGCCATGCTTAAACGTACTCCGCCTTGGGTTGTAAGAGTTGCGAAATTCAGTTATTTGCGTGCCCTGGGGTACTTTCCCGTTTCTCATGGAACCGTCGGCAGGTGTTGGTTGCACACGACCAGTATCCCATGCGGCATACATGACAGTGAAGGGGGAAGTAGGAAAAGGGAGCAAAAGGATGTTGATCGTGAGGCGGAGGGGCAGGGAAGTGAGGAGGAGGGAAAGGTGGACGATGAGGACCGAGAGGAGGAGGAGGAGGAGGAGGAGGAGGAGGAGGAGGAGGAGGAGGAGGAGGAGGAGCAGGAGCAGGAGGAGGAGGAGGACGACGAGGAGGAGGAGGAGGAGGAGGGGGAGGGGGAGGTGGAGGAAGAGGAGAAGGAGGATGAGGAGGAGGAGAAGTTGGAGGAGGAGGAGGAGGAGGAGGAGGAGGAGGAGGAGGAGGAGGAGGGGGAGGAGCAGGAGGAGGAGGAGGAAAATGTTCAGGAGGATCAGCAGCAAAGGCAGGAAGAAGAGGAGAAGAGCTAGGATGATGATGATGATGATGATGAGGAGGAGGAGGAGGAGGAGGAGGACCTGAGTAAGCCCAAGGTGCATCAACGATGCTGCAATACACCGTCTCGTCCCAAGGCACCTCACAAGTCTCTGTAAGCATTCCTTCCCACTTCAAGAGCCGCGCCCTTGAAGGACTACAAGACGCGCGCCCGGCGTGAGCACTGCTTGGACAGGAGTTGCCACGCATCGCGCAAAAGGATTTCCCAAAACGAGACGCTCAGCGAAGCCCTCGTTATGAGAAAATGCCCACACATGTGCAACTCTTGCACAGCTAGTTCGCACTTCTGGTCAGGAGCGTCGCGGGACCCGCCAGGGCTAATCCCGTTTTGACAAGACACCGTCCTCCGTCCGTGAAGGCGTTACGTCTGTTCAGTTTCCTGTTGTTTGTACCTCAACGGTGCTTCAACGGAAGTTCCGTTTTGAAAAGCAATCGTCCCCCATCGTTGCAAATGCTTCAAACTTGAACACGAAGGTGTGCGGCGCTGAGGCGAGAGCCTCGTTTGGAAAAGGAACCGCCTCCCATGCTTGAAACTGTTGCAGATGTTACGACGAATGTGCGCGGCGCTCCTCGTCTTGGGAAGGAGCCACCCCCCTTTCTCTGAAGATGGCGCAACATGCAAGCACGAGCTTGCGCGGCGCCACTGCGAGAGCCCCATGCTGAGAACGACCACCCCCGCCCTTGAATCTGCTGCATAGAATGCGCGTGGCGCCAGGGGGAGATCCCCATTCTGAACCCACCATCACCCCCCTCCATGTTGCAGATGGTGCAGCGCTCCAGCTTCAGGGCCGCAGACGGTGAAGAGGTCTCCACCGAAACGCCCGGGCCGCCCGACCGACACGTCGGGGGGCGCGGCGGGGAGGAGCTTCTCAGAGGGAGTGAGGGAGTGAGGGTGAGAAGGACGACCCAAGGGAGGAAACACGACCCAGACCCCGGTTACTGGCGTTTACGAAACGGCCCTGGACGTTTACGAAACAGGTCTGCCCTGTTCGATTCCTTCCCTGGGGGCGTTTACTGCACGGCTTCGCTTGTCGGGGTGATTATTATGGGGGGGAGGTTCTGCCCTTTAACGACGACAGGAGGTCCCACCCACGCCTGCCATACACGTTCCCACACCAAAAATCAATGGACGTTCTGGGGTCTCAGGTTTAGGTTTCTTGTGGAAGGCGTCCTGTGGATTGGCCTCCACTTTTGTGGATCGATTTCCTGGATTCGGCATCACGCCGACATACGGCGGGGGCGTTGGTTAAGGAATGCGCCCAGGGTGCTGCAGACCCTGGAGGGTTCCTTACCTGATGAGGGCGGCGGTGACGTCCATGGCCAAGCCTCGATTGTAGTTCCGCCGGCCTCCAGACCCTGGATTCCTTATCGAAGGGTTCCTCATCCAATGCCCCCACCGCGCTCCGTAGCCATTTTGGCTCAAGCCTGTGTTCCGCCCGCTTCTGCGCGCGCGGGACCGCTTGGGATGGCACGGGCGGAGTCGCCACATTGCGGCGATTCCAGCATAGAAGCATGCGGCCGGCGATCGAGAGCGACGCGGACGGCAGCACGGAGGAGGGCCTTGGTGGCAGCCGACGCGGGGCTTGCAGCAGCTCGTGCTCAAGTTCGAGCACTCGAGGAGCAGCTGCGGCACAAGACGTCGGAGTTCAACCAGCTGCTGCGGCACCTGGGCTACGGGGATCACCCTGACCCTCATGCAGACGAACTGCGCCAGCGGTGGATGGGCATCGAACCTGTTCTTCGAGCCCAGATCGAGGCCCGCGATGGCGTGGCGGCCGCCCCGCTCACCGACGTGGACATCCTGCGGCGGAATGTTTCTGAACCTTCGGCAGTCGCGCCACGGGCGGCGGCCAGCGGCAGGGAGCTCAGGAGCTTCCAGAAGTCCGCGAGGCTGGCGCCGCCGCGGGCGCTGCGGCAGGAGGCGCGCGGCGTGCAGCTCCGCAGGGAAAGCCCAGCTTTCATTCCAGGTGCGGGAAGCTGGGAGCCGTTGCACGGCATGGGCGAGGCGGCGGCTGGCCTGCGCTGCACATGCGGCGCGGTGGTCTACAGCCAGTGGGAGCCCTTCGATCCGAAGACGCTCGGCAAGGACGGCCAGCACGCGCAGCTTCTCGGCAGCGAGCAGAGCATCGGCAGTTGCGAGATGCAGGAGACGCTCGACGGCCTCACGGAGGACCAGGGCAGCCAAGGGGACGGCGGTGCCGATCCCGAGATCGGGCAGCAGCGCATCGCGCGCGATGACGAGGAGCTGCTGCAGGAGGATTGCCTGGCAGAGAAGCTGGACTGGACGGCCTCGGCCCACAGGCTTCTGCTGGTTTCTGCAGAGGCCACGGGCCAGCAGCCGTTCGTACGGCGGCGTGCGCGCCTGGATCGAGAGCGCCGCGACCGTGACGTCGCCCAGCTCTGCGCCTCCAGAGCCACGCTGACATAGTAATACAGGCGTTCCAAAAAGGGCCTTGCCTTCGATGAATGGAAGAAACAACACCTGGACCCAACAATTGGCGTTTACTAAACGACCTTAGGCGTTTACTGAACACCCCTGCCCTGTTTGATTCCTCCTTTGGGTGCGTTTACGAAACGGCTTCGCGTGTCGGGGTGGTTATTATCGGGTGGATGTTCTGCCCTCTATCCGAGGATCGAAGGAGCTGGCATCTCTTCCGCGGCGGAAGGCGGCGGAAGGTCGGCCGAGCGTGCACGGCAGGCTCGTGCCGCCTCGCCGCGGCGGCGGCGCCGCCCGTGAGAGCTCAGGGCGTTTAACCTTCTTGGGGGAGAAGGAGGAGGAGGAGGAGGAGGAGGAGGAGGAGGAGGAGGAGGAGGAAGAGGAAGGAGGAAGGGAAGGAAGGAGGAGGAGGAGGAGGAGGAGGAGGAGAGGAAGGAGGAGGAGGAAGGAGGAAGGAGGAGGAGGAAGGAGGAAGGGGAAGGAGGAAGGAGACGGAGGAAGGAGGAGGAGGAGAAGGTGGAGGAGGGCGAGGAGGAGGAGGAAGGAGGAGGAGAAGGAGGAAGGAGGGGGAGGAGGAGGAGAAAGGAGGGGGGAGGAGGAGGAGGGGAGGGGGAGGAGGAGGAGGAGGAGGAGGAGGAGGAGGAGGAGGAGGAGGAGGAGGAGGAGGAGGAGGAGGAGGAGGAGGAGGAGGAGGAGGAGGGGAGGAGGAGGAGGAGGAGGAGGAGGAGGAGGAGGAGGAGGGAGGAGGAGGAGGGAGGGGAGGAGGAGGGGGGGGGGGGCTCGGGAAGTTGGGGGGGCCCACCCCCCCCGGGCCGCGCCGAGCCCACGCGAAAGAGGTCCGGGGGGGGGGGAACACACAGACACAACGAGTCGTCGATGTCCCCAGGACGGTGGGGGAGGAGATGGGAGTGTGTGTGGGGGGGGGGGGAGGGAAAACGAGAATCCAGAAACAAGTGGATGGGACAGCATGGGGCATCCTGGGATGTGTGTCATGTATTTGTTTGTGCGTCCCTGGGCTCCTTCGGAGGTGGAGGTCGAGGGCACGTGTGGGACCGCCGGGGGCGGAGATCGTTCAAGCCTGCACGACTGGACGGCCCACGCGGTGTCAGAGGCCAGGGCTCAGAGGAGGAAAAGGTACCCATACCTCTACACATTGTTCATTTCTAATTCTTCGAAAGTTCTTTGATTTTTGGGGGGCTGAGATCCTTTCATGTCAAGTTGTGTTGTCCTGGGCCTCTTCCTGGCCGCTAGGGGGCCAGGAACAGCTAGAAATGAGCACGATTAGAAATGAACGACGTGTACCCATATCTCTACGGTAGGTTCGCGTCGTGTCGATTGGAAGCGACCTCGCCACCGGAGTTCAACGTTGAACGCCGCCGGCGATTTAGAATCGGTTGACTTGAACGATCTGACGTATCGGAAACGGCCGATCGTTCAAGGTTCAACGATCCCCACTGTGTCAAAAGCCAACGCCGAAGTCGGCACGACACGAAATTGCAGTACCCTTCCCCCACTTTCCCCTTGTCGGGCCTCCTCGGAAGCCCCTTCGTCGCCACCGCTGGACTCGCATCGAACTTCTGGTCAGAGCGCACCCCGGGAGAGGTCCAGGGAGTAGTTGTATCGGTACCGCTTGGTTTCCCCAAGGGCCCGTGTCGTCAAGGCGGGAACCTGCTGTGTTGCCGCAGAGGTCCCGCCATGCATGGGGCCTGCCGCTGCACCATGCCAGGGCCCCGCCACTGCGCCGAGAGGGGACAGGTGAGCGACGGAAGAAGGCGGGGTGGACTGCGCGCACATTCGCGCGTGAGCTTGCATAAGACCTCTTTTTATTCCGTCGCTCATGTGGTACGTCGGTCCTCGGCTGTCCGCGTTCTTGGGCTTCCTGTTGTTTCGCACGGGCTCCAGGCACCAGGGCCGTTGGATGTCCCCAAACTCCTGGAACGTTTCTTGATCCGACCGCATCATGACATCATTTCCGTTCTATCCGTAAAACGGGCCTGTCCCTCTACAGGAGGAATAGCAAAAGACTGTCAAACCATTGTACGGGGACGATGTTTCTATTCTTTGGGACTCGTTGGGATCATGTGTTGGCGATGTTTCATTTGTCCTTCAAAACCCGCCCTGTAGGAGGACATGCCCGACCTAGCTCTATCCCCCCCCTGCCCCCCTCTCTTCCGCTGCTGCGGGAGGAGGAGGGGGGGGGGAGCAGGGCGGTGGCCCGAACCGCCTGCCGGCCCGGAGGGCGGGGCCCGTCTGCCGGGCCGGGCCCTGTGCCACGCAGCAAGGAGAATCGGCAAGCATCCGCACAGGGTGGACTGCTGATATATATATATATATATATATATATATATATATACATGTATATGCATATATGAATATATGCATATTATAATAATAATAATAATAATAATAATAAATAATAATAATAATAATAATAATAATAATAATAATAATAATAATAATAATAATGATGATGATGATGATGATGATGATGATGATGATGATGATGATGATGATGATAACAATAATAATAATAATCATACTGATGATGACAATAATAATACAATGATAACAACAACAATAATAATACCATAATAGCAATAGCAATAACAATACGAATAACAATAATACTAATAATAGTAATAATAGTAATAGTAATAGTAATAGTAATAATAATAAGAATAATAATAATAATAAAGTCGTTTGCATGTTTAGCTACTGGCCTATCGCGCAGCACTGCAGTCAGTAGTGTGTCACATGTGCACCTGCGGCGGACTTCACGCCTTGGCCGTTTTTCAGTCACGAGCTGTCCTGAGGAGGCCCCGGAGGCTGGAAGCTGGACAGAGCCACTGTATATAAAATGACGCGAAGATCGGGACAACATCGGATCGGGATAACTCGAAATCTCTGAGAATCGGCGGGTTTGTAGGATGTATTGGGCGCCGCGGCCGCTCCAGAGCGTTCCGGAACGCTCTGAGAGCGTTCCGGAACGCTCCGGAGCGATTTGTCCCGATCCTAGCCCTGTTTTAACCTTATAGGCCCACCAAAGAATGTTCGAAGAACCTGGTGTGGTTTCGACTAGATATTGTGATCACACGTGCGGGCAGGACGGTCTTGCTGTGGTACATCAGGCTTACGCTCTAAGAATATTGTTTCTGCTCTTAGAACATTCTGGGGATCTGAGAACGTGTCGTGGTAGGTATGTAGGGATGCCGGGACGGTCGGTCCCTGCTCGACTTGGCACTCGGAGGGGTGGCCCGCGGTCCACGCCGCCGGCTGCCAGCGCCCCCAGGCGTTCATGAGCATGGCCCTCGACAGGGAGCTCATGCTCAACCGGCGCGACGTGGTGGCCGAGAAGAGGAGCCCGCTCATGGCCCCTCGGCTCCGTGGCGAGCCGTGGAGCTGGGATGCGCGCCCATCGACAGAAAGTCATCAGGAGCGCTAGCCTCAAGTATCTAGAATCTAGACGCCTGAGATCGGTCTGCTGCCGGAGCTGCAGCCAAACAAATATGTTGGCACTGTTTGATTTTCCTTGCGAGGCGGGCCCTGAGGGCAGCGGGTCCTGCGGTGTTTCGCCGTTCTCAGGCTCTCCGGGCCCTCCACGGGCCCCGGGACTGCCAGAAGACGCTTTCAGGACCAAGATCTCGTCCCCAGGGAAGGCCCAAGGACTCCCTCCTCCTCCTCCTCCTCCTCCTCCTCCTCCTGCTGCTGCTCCTCCTCCTCCTCCTCCTCCTCCTCCTCCTCCTCCTCCTCCTCCTCCTCCTTCTCCTCCTCCTCCTCCTCCTCCTCCTCCTCCTCCTCCCCCCCGTTTCCCTTAGGACTCGTCTCCCCCATGCTAAGCTCACTTGGCCGCCACGAACCGGATACAACAAAAAGGTACAGTCGGGGCCCTGAAGAAGGACCCCTTTTCGTTGGGGAGGGGCTCGGTGTTCCTTGATTGTTTTACAGTTTGCCCTGGGTTTGCCTGAGGTTTTCAATGGTAAATCGAAATTTAACTTATGGAAAAAAGGGGCCTCGTTCCTTATTTAGGGTTCCTTAGGTCAACGCCTCGACTGTATACAAATATGACTTCGCGGAGCTCCGCGCGGGTTTCTCGAATCGGCGCTGGAGGCCCCGGGCACGCGCCGCCCGGAAGGGGGGTCCAGCGCCGATCCGAGGGATCCGCGCAGACCTCCGAGAGATCATGCCTGCACAGTTTTTGTCCTTCCACGAAGCTCGGGTGTTGCTAGAAGTGCCCCTGGCCCAAGGTGCCCCCAGGATTTCCAAGGATGCCCCCGCGCCCTTCAGAGCACCCCTCACGAGGCCCAGGGGGCCCCAGGGGCTCCAGAATGGAACGAAAAGCTGGGGGCACCTTGAGCCAGGGGCACCTTTCGTAACCCCCGAGAAGCGAGCCCCGAGGAAAACGAATCGGAAGGTTTTCCGCCGTCTTGGGCCTCTTCGGGCTCTCCACAAGCCCCGGGACCGTCAGAGAGCGACATGGGAGGAAAGAGTGGTCCTGGGGGAAGGCCCCGTCGGACGGGACTAGGACGAGGATAGATCCGTCCCTGAGCGTTCCGGAAGGCTCTCGGAGAGTTCCCGAACGCTCTAAGAAGTCCGCAGCGCCCAAGACTTCCTCCAGAGCCGCCCGATCTCAGAGATTCTCGATGTCTCCTCACCCAACTGTATCCTCGCCTTATGATGTTCCAACCGACTTTAGCTTTGATCACCACAAATAATTTCGAGCATAGAAACAATACCGAAATTCGATGGTTTTCGCGTGTCCGGCCCTTGGAGACACTCGTCCGACACTTTTTCGACACGGTTTCGACATTCCTTCGACACTTTTCCGGGTGCTCGAAATCATTTTTGGGATGTGGTCTTCAAGTACGGTGGGAACAACATCGTCCTCGCCCTGGCTTCGTCTTACCCCGGATCCAGGGCGCGGTTCCCTCGGGACCCGCCTGCCTCGTGCCAGCCACGGGGCCGCTCTGCGGAGAGGTCCTCGCCAGCGGGGGGTCGAGGGGGTTGGCAGCTCCGCCTCGGCACAGGGCCAGCGCGGAAGCAGGACGAGGGTGGGTCCGCCCGCAGAAGCCAGCGGAAAGAGGGGTGCTGCCGGGCCAGATGGGAGAAGCTGCCTGGCGAAGTGGGGCAAGCTGCCAAGCGAGGTGGGAAGAGTTGCCAGGGGCGAAGTGGGAAAAGTTGCCAGGCGAAGCGGGAAATGTCGAAGTGGATCTCGCACTTGTCTGGCGTAGTCCCGAAGCCCCCCCCCCGGGATCAGAGGATTAGGGGGGGCGACCCTCGCTGCACAGCGCTCGCAGGGCAGGGCGTTATGCTTTTCTTTCTGCCCGCATTTTGTAGTGCAGGTTGTCCTCCGCCTCGCGCGTATCCGTGGGCTCCCACATCGATTACAAATACGATGGCGCCGCGATTGTGGTAGGCCAGCTAGCCTTTCAGGAAACCTCCCGACCCTGACGCAGGAGGGGGCAGTGCAACCAAGAAGAAGCTGGAGTTGCGCTCCCAAGAGGTGTCATCATGACTGCTTTGGGGGGCTCCAGAGCGGGCCACGACGCGATGGGAGGGAGGCAGTGCTCCTGAGGAGCGGGGGAGGAGGTGGAGGGGTAGCAGGAGTAAGGGAGGGAGAGGCAGGAGGAGAAGGAGAGGGAGTGCGAACAAGCAGGGGGGGTAGGAGTAGAAGCGGGAGTCAAACTAGACGGCTCGAACGAGGCGGAAGTTATTGCTCATTCTCATCTTCCCTGCCATAATCTTAGAACCAATGCCGTCGCAAGTGGACAGTGGTATTGGCGCGCCTAAGAGAACGAAACCCTCTCGCGCGCGCGTGCCCGTTTCCGATGATTCGGCGAAGGAATAGCAGGCGTTGCGCCCAAGCGGGGACGCTTTTTTTTCCGTTGGAGGAACCCCGGCATCTGCCATGAAAACGGATTCTGCGCGCAGTCCAGCTTCCCTTGCGGTGGGCGAACTAATGCGCCTCGCCCAGGCTGGCGCGCGCCACTTCCAGAAGGGAAGCGCGCGGTGCCCTGGGCGAGGGCGACACATCCCGCCCTCCCAGGAGCGGGCGGACCCGAGTTCCACGACTTGGTGAGCAGAGCGCGCGCGACGCGTCTGGGAAAAGATCCCGGGCGAGGGCGACACATCCCGCCCTCCCGGGAGCGGGCGGCCCCGAGTTCCACGGCTTGGCGAGCAGAGCGCGTGCGACGCGTCCGGGAGAAGATCTCGGCGCGGCGCTGTGGGGCGAGGGCAGCAGCCCGCCCTTTCTCGCGCGCGGGGCGCGCGCCGCGCCCCACCTCCTCCTCCTCCTCCTCGTCCTCCTCCCTCTCTCCTCCTCTCCTCCTCCCTTCCTCCTCCTCCCTCCCATCCTCCCTCCTCCTCCTCCTCCCTCCTCCTCCCTCCTCCTCCCTCCTCCTCCTCTTCCTCCTCTCCTCCTCTCCTCCTCCCTCCTCCTCCTCCTCCTCCTCCTCCTCCTCCTCCTCCTCCTCCTCCTCCTCCTCCTCCCTCTCCTCCTCCTCCTCCCTCTCCTTCTCCTCCTCCTCCTCCCGCCGCTCATGTTGCAACGCCAGCGAGCAAAGAAGTCCACGGCGAAAGGGAAACGCCGACGACGTGGTGCGGTGGGGGCTTTGGTGGAGGAGTGTGCCCAGGAGCCCTCAGACCCTGGGCCATCCATTCCTTCTCGGATGCGGGCGGCAGCGATGCCCATGGGTCAATCCTCGCTCGGAGTCCCACTGTTTTCCAGACCATGGACTCCTTATCCTCCAGTGCCCTCACCGTACTGTGTTGATTGGGAGTGGGGGCGTTCCCCCCCCCCACCCCGCGGCTCTGGCTGGCTAATCGGGCGGTGTGGTGGCAGAGTGGGAGCAAAGACCAGCAGAGGAGAGGGGATGCGTGGGAGTGGGGGGGAGACTAGGATTAAGTCGGGCCTGTCCTTCTACAGGAAGAAGATTAAAAACAAACAATCAAAAATAGTTTGGGAACGATGTTTCGACCAGTTGTTGACTATGTTTGGGCACTTTTTGAGTAGGTTTGATCTGTCGTCCAAAATCCGCCTGTGGGGGGACATGCCCGACCCAAGACTAGGAGCCACGCCAAGTCAGCCAGGGCGTTCGGGCCAGTGGGCCCTGCCCAGTCCCCCCCTCCCCCCCCATAAGCTTGGTATCGCTCGGACGTGTGCATTTTTCCCTCGGCGAGGACCATCGAGGAGCATCCTTGATCATTTGGCGAAAAAGCCACGCACGAAACCGAAACAAAAACACAGGGAATGGACGTCCGAGCGATGCCCAGTAAGTGGCACATCTCGACTTAGGAATTGGGATGCACTGACACTTGGCGAACGGAACGCGTGTGCGTGCGGTCCCGCTTCCGCCGAGGTGGCGGACGCACGTCTGCGCAGGCCGCGCAGGGGTGCGGGCGGAACTTCGGGGAATCCCGGCGCGGGGCTGCGGCGAGGGTATCACCTCGCCTCCGCTCGGGTGGCCACGCTGTCGAGGAGCGCGGCGGAGACGGAGCCCAAGCGCCGCGCCGAACGCAGCGCCGCCGCTTCCGCGCGCCAGCTGCGCGGCGCTCTTGGGCGAGGGCACCGCTCCACCCGCTCCGCGCGCTGCCGCTGCCGCCGCCGTGCGATCCGGCAAACGCGAGGCAGGCGCCTTCGCGTTTGCTCGAGGCGTGCGCGCCGCGCGCCCGCGCGAGCAGAGCAGGCGCCGCGCCCTGGGCGAGCCACGCCCGCTCGCGCGGAGGACCCGGTGTTGGCGGGCGCGAGAGGTGCGTGCTGCGCCAGGGCGGGAGCGCGCCACGCTCCGGCGAGCTCTGCGCGGCGGCGAGTCGAGGGCGACGCGTTCGTCCGCCTTCGCGGCAGGTGGTGGTCGTTGTTTTGTATGTATCGTTTTGCCGATCGGCGCGGGCGCCCAGACCCCCCTCCCCCCCCCTCCCCACCCCATGGAGCAGAGCTTGGCTGTCTGGGGCACTTGTTTCGGGCAGGTGGAGTCTCCCCTCACAGGACCCAGTGCTGCAAACAGTCGCACCAAGCAGAGGTCTGGAGCCAAACCCCCCCTTCCCCCCGCCGCTTCCGCCCAATGTTGAAACGCCTAATAACAAGATGCTCACAAGAGCGTGCAAGAAATGTGCGCCGCGCCCATGCTGGAGCTCACGTCCTGAGGGGAAAAAACGCGCGGCGCTAAGACGAGATCGACATGTCGCTGTTTCGCGCGGAGTGTGCGCCTGGTCCCACCGTCGACGCCTGAACGTTCATACTGACGGCAAAAACGTTAGAATTCCTATAAGCACGTAAGATGGATCCCCCTCCCGATCGGGCCCCTGGCCAGCTATAGGGCAGTTCGGGGGCACACACGAATAAAAGGTTTAACCAAATCGAG